AAACTTGGGGACAGCTGTCAGGCCATGTGCTTGGGTGGGAGTCAGCGTGGATTACATGATGGTGGCTGGATGGACTGAAGTGAGCTACAGAGTTACCTATCTTTGCACCCCTCCCAGCTTTCAGCTTATTTTTCTGTGGTTCTCTCTCCCCAGCTCAAACCCATGGAAAGTGAGAACCACACCAGCCAGCCTGATTTTATCCTGCTGGGTTTGTCCAGTGGGCAAGAGCAGGACCGCCTTCTCTTGGCTCTCTTCCTCACCCTGTACCTGCTGAACTTGCTGGGGAACCTGCTGATTATCCTCCTGATCCGCTCTGATGCCCAGCTCCTCCATGCCCCCATGTACTTCTTCCTCAGTCACCTCTCCTTGGTGGATGTTTGCTTCACCTCCACCACCATTCCCAAGATGTTGCGCAACCTTCACACAGGCCACAAGAACATTGCCTATGCTGGCTGCCTGGCCCAGATGTACTTCTTTGTGGCCTTCGCCATCACTGAGAACTTCCTCCTGGGCTCCATGGCCTTTGACCGCTTTGTGGCCATCTGCCAGCCCTTGCACTATTCCTTGGTGATGAGCCCAATGCGGTGTCATGTGATGGTGTTCATCGCCTGGCTGCTGGCCCACCTCCACTCCTTGCTCCACACCGTGCTGATGTCCAGGCTCTCTTTCTGTTCCCCTCGCCACATCCACCATTTCTTCTGTGACTCCCAGCCTTTGCTGGTGATGGCTTGCTCTGAGAAGAACCTCAATGAGATACTGAATTTCTACGAAGGTGGCAGCATTATAATAGGGAACTTCATCCTCATCCTCATCTCTTATGCGTTTATCTTCCGAGCTGTGCTCCGGGTGTCTTCTTCCCAAGGCCGGAGCAAGGCCTTCCAAACCTGCGCATCTCACCTGACTGTGGTCACCCTCTTCTACGGCTCGGCGATCGGAGTCTACTTCCGACCCCTCTCCAGCTACTCTGGGGACAAGGACAAGATTGCCACCGTCATGTACACCGTGGTGACCCCTATGCTCAACCCTTTCATTTACACCCTGAGGAATGCAGACATGAAAGCTGCCCTTCACAGAGCATTGGAGAAAGTAAGACATGCTTTGGGGAAGCCACACAATGTCAAGCCGTGATGGGAAGGAGGGGAACCTGTGATGATCAGTTGTGAGAGATGCATCGTGAGAGACGTGGGAGATCAGGCGTGAGTCGGAGGAGCATGGATCTTTAAAGGACACCATTGGTTGGTAGACAGTCATCAAGGCTGTCTTATAAGGTGAGCTGGAAGGGCCTGACCTTACCCATCTTTCCCACCCAGATATTCTGTGCACAACCAGTCAATGTCAGAGGGACAGGAAGGAACTTCCATAGAAATTCCATTGTTTTCCACAGGAGGGAAGTCTGTCTGGGAGCTGGATGCGAGGGTTTTTACTTGGTGCTGGCTAGCAGAGGCAGAACAGGAATCTTGCTGGTTTATTGATCATTCAGGTGCCAAACAACCTCCCTGACAAAGCTGGCAGTGGCACTCTCTAGTATAGTGCTGAAGAACTTCACTATCAATGTCGAATCTGCCTTGCCTAGGCCGGCTCATGACCTCATGGGTGCCATGATAACCACAGGGCTGTCTCAGTATGTCATGCACATGGCAGGTCATTCCCTAAATCTGGTTTCATGAATGCCCTTCCTGGCAAAGTACACCTGTCTCCTTCATTATTGAAATTTATAAGAAATTTTAAAACATTCCTGTTCACCTAGGCATTTGATGGCTCAAATATACTGGCCATGACAGCCGTAAAATTAATAACTGTGAGGGTCTGTGGTTGCTTTTTTAAAAAAAATTAGATACTCTAAACATTTTTAGATTGTTTTTAATTGTTTTAAATGTGTTTTTTATTGTACTGATTTAATCTTTTAATGTTTGGTACCCTGGGAGGAAGGACAGGATATAATAATAATAATAATAATAATAATAATAATAATAATAATAACTGCTATGGACATAGTTGGGTGGGGCTTATATTTCAGATCACCTGAGATTATTGTTTTCCTGTCCAGAAGCAAAAATACCTTTAACTTTAAAAATGAATTACTTGACCTGCATTGATAACACATTGCTATAGCTATTATGAATGCATTTTAAAAGAAACAACAGAGGTACACATTCAGATATTATTCAGATACACCTCAGGTGCAACCAAAGAGCTTCTCTCTCTCTCTCTCTCTCTCTCTCTCTCTCTCTCTCTCTCTCTTATAAACTTTATTTGGTTTTACAAATTCATTCACATTCATATTCATCCATAATAATTTTTTTTACACAAGATTCTTCCAAATCTCAAGACTTCCCTCCTCCCCTCTGTGGATTCTTTGCGCAACTTTTTAACTGCATATTATAAGTCCATCCAGTTTACAGACCTCCATTGTGTCCAAAATCTATGTGTCATTGCAAGAGTTATTAAAAACCTGCTAAAGAGTTCAAGTGTTTACAATGGTCTTTCAAATATAATATAAATTTGTCCCATTCTTTGTTGAAGTTTTGAGCCTCCTGATTTCTGATTTTCCCAGTTAGTCTTGCCATCTCTGTGTAGTCCAATAGTTTCATCTGCCAATCCACCCTGGTAGGCATCTTGTTCTCTTTCATCACCCAAATCACCGCTCCACGGGCAGCCTCAGTCAGGAGTGCAACATCTCTCTCTAGTGGCTCATTCTGAACCTGCAACTCATGATAAGCCCAGGAAGCTTCAAACAAGGAGTTATGCTAATACCAGACCATGTTATTACCAAGGAGGCAGGTTTAGTCGTTGGAGCACTATCCCTGCCTCCGGGTCTGGTCTTGACCGGAAGGATACTGGAATCAACAAAGGAGACCCAAGTGGCCTTAAGGTGCTGCTGTGCAATGCCAGGTCAATGATTCATAAGACCATTGTCATCCACGACTTGATCCTGGATGGAGGACTTAACCTGGCATGTGTAACAGAGACTTGGTTGGATGAAGCAGATGGACCTGTTCTTGCTGCTGCTTGTCCACCAGGTTTCTCTTACGCACAGCAGCCCAGGTCATACGGGTGGTGGTGGTGGGGTTGCAGTGATTTTTAGGAATTCATTAGCTTGCACCAGGCATCCTATCGGAAAGACCCAGTTTTTAGTGCTTCTTCTAGAAGTTGGGCAATAGGGGCATTATAGGATTCCTTTTGGTGTACCGACCTCCCCGCTGCACCAAGGATTCCCTGCCCGAGCTGCTTCAGGTCATGGTGGATGTTCTCCTGGAGACACCTAGTTTAGTTGTCCTAGGGGATTTTAACATACATGCCGACATGACCTTACAAGGGGCCGCTCGGGACTTCGTGGAAAGCATGGCCTCCATGGGGCTGTCCCTGAATAAGTTTGGCCCAACTCATAGTCGTGGACATGCCTTAGACCTGGTGTTTACCTCTATGGATGTGGGTGATCTGACACTAAGTAAAAGTGAAACAAAAGAAGTGCCATGGTCGGATCACTTCCTGGTGCAACTGGACTTCTCCATGACCCTTTCCCTCTGCAAGGAGGTGGGACCAATTTGGATGGTCTGCTCCCACCACTTAATGGATCCAAATGGATTCCAGAGAGTGGTAGGGGATGTTTCATCCCACAATGATGGCCATCCAGCTGATTCCCTGATAGCCCTGGTGGCCCACTGGAATGCAGAGTTAACCAGGGCTATTGACTGTCTGGCTCCACCCCCATCATTCAGCCCGGACACTGAAGTCCAGCACCGAGGGCCTTCTGGTGGTTCCCTCACTGTGATAAGTGAGGTTACAGGGAACCAGACAGAGGGCCTTCTCAGTAGTGGCACCCACCCTGTGGAACACCCTCCCATGAGATGTCAAGGGAATAAACAACTATCCGACTTTTAGAAGACATCTGAAGGCAGCCCTGTTTAGGGAAGTTTTTAATGTTTGAAGTTTTATTCTGTTTTTAATGTTCTGTTGAAAGCCACCCAGAGTGGCTGGGGAAACCCAGCCAGATGGGCGGGGTAGGAATGATAAATTGTTGTTGTTGTTGTTGTATCCTGACCTGCAGCTAATAAACTCAATTTCATTTTTTCACAATTTTAAAGAAATTAGGTCTTTCCTGAAATACATTTCCCCATCACCACCTTCCTGGACAGAAAATCTGCTTTTGGAGCACATGGGCATATCTGGAAGAAACCAGATATCTTGGGTCACTGCTCCTTGTTCTCATGAGAATTTTATATCCTCAGAAAGATGACAGGGAGGAACTTTGTAAAGTGGTAGTGAGGAAGCTGACAACATGTAGAGGAATGGGATTTCACCACAGGGTCAAGAGATGACAGAGGCAGGTCAATAACTCCTCCACAGACAGTGGTGGGCAAGAACATGTTTGTTTGTTTGTTTGTTTGTTTGTTTGTTTGTTTGTTTGTTGTGTTTCTGTATCACCTTTTTTCTCCAAGGAGCTCAAGGTGGCATACATGGTTCTCTCCCTCTTCTTTTAATCACCACAACAATTCTGTGGAGTAGTTTAGGCTGAGAGGCAGTGACTGGCCCAACATAAGTCAGTGAGCTTCGTGACCAAGCAGGGACTTGAACTCAGATCTGACTCCGCTGTACTACACTGGCTGCTCCTTAACTGGCAGGGAGTTAAGGATAGCTGGATGGAAAAACTGAGCAAGCACCCCAGAGGTGTCTGATTCATGCAGGAAAGCCACTCCCCACCACACAACCTCACCTTCCAACCCCGCAAGGCCCCAAACTGAGGGTCAGAATTTGAACTCTGGAAGCTGCCTTAGCAGAACACTAGCAAAGCTAGCTCAGTATTGCTAACAGCAGCTCTCCAGGGTTTCAGAACGGCACCATACATTTAAAGCACATGACTTCCCCCTCCCCAAAGAATCTTAGGAACTGTAATTTGCCACTCACAAAACTACAATTGCCAGTACCCTTAATAAACCACAGCATCCAGAGTCTTTGGGACAAGGCGTGTTCTCTGACTGCATAGTACAGATATTTCTCCAAGCCCTACCTAGAGATGGTGGGGATGGAACCTGGGACCTTGTGCATGCAAAGCAAGTGCTTTACCACTGAGCTACAGTGGCCTGTATAAATTAAGGGACCTATATGGAAGTTGAGTGTGCATGGAAACAATGGAATCCCAAGAGTGAGGTCTGAGTTTATCTCTGAGTTCAGGGTGAACCAAAGTGGAAGTTGACTGGACAGCATGAGCATTGTCAAGGTCCAGAGATCCAGAGATGATCCCTGCTGCTGTTTCCTTATCAGGAGCACTCTTCAGAGTTTTGGTCCTGTTAATGTCTACAGCCCTTAGAAGTACAGTGGCACCTTGGTTTGCATACGCTTTGGATTACAAACACGTCAAACCCGGAGGTGCGTGTCCCAGTTTGCAACATTTTTTTGGATTACAACCCATTTTGGGGGGGATTAGGTAAAGGTAAAGGTACCCCTGCCTGTACGGGCCAGTCTTGCCAGACTCTAGGGTTGTGCGCTCATCTCACTCTATAGGCCGGGAGCCAGCGCTGTCCGCAGACACTTCCGGGTCACGTGGCCAGCATGACAAGCTGCATCTGGCGAGCCAGCGCAGCACACGGAAACGCCGTTTACCTTCCCGCTGGTAAGCGGTCCCTATTTATCTACTTGCACCCGGAGGTGCTTTCGAACTGCTAGGTTGGCAGGCGCTGGGACCGAACGACGGGAGCACACCCTGCCGCGGGGATTCGAACCGCCGACCTGATGATCGGCAAGTCCTAGGCGCTGAGGTTTTACCCACAGCGCCACCCACGTCCCTAATCTGTTCGTAATCCCCTTGGGGGGGATTACGAACAAAAAACTTTGGAGGCCCCATTGGTGAAAGCGTGCCTTGGGTTACAACCTTCTTTGGTTTACAAATGGACCTCCGGAACAGATTATGGTTGTAAACCAAGGTACCACTGTACTAATACGGTGGACGCTCGGGTTGCGAACGTGATCCGTGTGGGATGCATGTTTGCAACCCGCAGAGTCTGCGCACATCCAGGTTGTGATTCGGTGCTTCTGCGCATGCGCAAAGAGCAATTTAGCGCTTCTGTGCATGCGCGGCCACTGAAAACTGGAAGTAACCCATTCTGGTACTTCCGGGTTTCGGCGGTCCGTAACCCAAAAAAACACAACCTGAAGCAGCTATAATCCGAGGTATGACTGTACTAGTATTCAACAATGACACAAAGTAGAATTAACAATGCAAACCATTGCCTTTGTGAACACGCAGTTAGCGTTCAAGATACAAGATATCCATGATCCCAGTTTGCAATCTTAGAATACTGCCATTATACATGACTCTCGTGTGGTCCTATATAAATTTTTTTTCATTCCACCACCTAAAGAAATCCAATTTCCCGCCACAAATGATTGTATTGCATTCTCCCCTCTGCTGTGGAATTTGCTCTGGTGGACCACACAACACTGCAGAGCTTTCCGGAAACATCTGAAGACTTTATCTCTCTGCCCCCTGCAGGGGTTTCTCCCCCCCCCCCCGCCGTTGAAGGAGGTCTTAATTGGTGGGTTTGTTTTCTATTGCAGGGTTTGGCTCTGCAATCTTTGCAATCTTTGCCTGGCAGCTTGTCTTTGCAGTTGTAGGTTTTTACTATAGATTTTGTACTGATTTTCTGTGTTTTATTGGAAAGTTTAAATCCTTACTGTCAAAGGTTAACTTTATATTATTGTTCACTTCCTTGTGAGAAATTTTATAAAAGGTGGTGTAGAAATTTATTTTAAAAATGAATAAATAATTACATTTCCAAGGCACCTACACAAAATTACTGTTGCCTTATTTGTAAGTATAATGTTCCTAGTTTTCTGGTGCCATTCCCTCAGAAGCTAAACTTTTGTAGAGAAATCCAACTCTGTCTGGTAGATAATAATATATCACTTACTGTGTCAGAAGATTCCAGTATCAGTTAAAAAGGCTAATTGGAATTCTATTTTCCACCATGAACCAAGATTATCCCCAAAGTTGTTGGTCTAAGTTCATCACTGAAATTGGCCTTTTTCAATGTTATCAGACGTTTCATATGACTGTAACAGCCTCTAAACAATTTGGAACAAGACTTTAGATCATATCTGTGAATCTGGAGTTAATCAACAAAGGATAAGGAAGTGTTGAAAAGGATTCAGATTTGGTCTGTTTTTTTAAAAAAACACCAATATATTTGATCGAATTGTTAAGTGCTCAAAAAAGTTTCATTTCAGGTTAAGGTTGAGAAGCATAAGCAACTATGTTGAGCCATCAGGTAGGTTAAAAAAACAACAACTTTAATGGGGCCAATAGAATTGTGCAAGCTTTCAAGATCAGCAGAACTATGAATCCAGACTCAGAATCTAGTCTTTAAAAGAAGCATAGGGAATTGAAAAGCTTACACATTAGTTTGCGATAGATCTATTTTGTTGGTCTTAATAAATGTATTGCTGTGCCAAAACAACAGCAAAATTTGGGGTCTCTTGAAGAAGCCCAACTAACACCCCAGAGGACAGGATCACACTTCAAAACGACCTTGACAGATTAGAGAACTGGGCCAAAACAAACAAGATGAATTTTAACAGGGAGAAATGTAAAGTATTGCACTTGGGCAAAAAAATGAGAGGCACAAATACAAGATGGGTGACACCTGGCTTGAGAGCAGTACATGTGAAAAGGATCTAGGAGTCTTGGTTGACCACAAACTTGACATGAGCCAACAGTGTGACGCGGCAGCTAAAAAAGCCAATGCAATTCTGGGCTGCATCAATAGGAGTATAGCATCTAGATCAAGGGAAGTAATAGTGCCACTGTATTCTGCTCTGGTCAGACCTCACCTGGAGTAGAGTACTGTGTCCAGTTCTGGGCACCACAGTTCAAGAAGGACACTGACAAACTGGAACATGTCCAGAGGAGGGCAACCAAAATGGTCAAAGGCCTGGAAACGATGCCTTATGAGGAACGGCTAAGGAAGCTGGGCATGTTTAGCCTGGAGAAGAGGAGGTTAAGGGGTGATATGATAGCCATGTTCAAATATATAAAAGGATGTCACATAGAGGAGGGAGAAAGGTTGTTTTCTGCTGCTCCAGAGAAGCGGACACGGAGCAATGGATCCAAACTACAAGAAAGAAGATTCCACCTAAACATTAGGAAGAACTTCCTGACAGTAAGAGCTGTTCAACAGTGGAATTTGCTGCCAAGGAGTGTGGTGGAGTCTCCTTCTTTGGAGGTCTTTAAGCAGAGGCTTGACAACCATATGTCAGGAGTGCTCTGATGGTGTTTCCTGCTTGGCAGGGGGTTGGACTCGATGGCCCTTGTGGTCTCTTCCAACTCTATGATTCTATGATTCTATTATTTGAAGACTAATGCAATCTTATACATATCTATTCAGAAGTGAGCCCCATTGAGTTCAATGGGTTTGCTCCCAGGAAGATGTGTGCACATACCTATTTACCTGTGAGTAAGCCTCAGTGAACTTAGTGGAACTTACTTTTAAGTAAGCAAAAATAGGCACAATTGCTCTGTAATAGGTCTATTGTGCCCTAACCTTTCCTGAACTAGAACTTAATTTTCAGACCCCAGAAGACAATATGACTCAGTATGGATGTGGTGGTCCTGCCTTCAGGCTTGTACATCTTGGAATCTGATTTTTAATGACCTACAAAAGGTTATAAAGCAGCCTATGGAAAGAACCCCATAACTGGCATTGCTGAAATTTTCCTTAAACCAAAATAAAGACGTACATAAGACTTGCTGGAATGCCTCTTAATCACAACGTTCCTGACTGAAGCCAATCACTGGAAAGACATGGAAGGTACAACGTGGATATATTAGTAAAATACATGGCATATATGGAAAAACAGAGACACAAACTCAAAGTTATGCATGTTCTTTCAAAACAGGATAAAACGAAGTTTGATTTTATCATGCAAGTCTAAAATCTAGGTCCACCACCACAATAAGCCACAATAGGGAATGCACAGTGACCCTACCTCTTCTTTGACTTTTTCATGCCCTTATTTTGATACGTTTTCTGATACCTCTCCGGGTTCTCAGTATTTGTTTCTTTGAATCCTTCTTACAGTCTGGATTATAGGTATTTTCAGGGAGGACCATTATCTGGATGTTTTTATTGATTGCATGTTTAAAATGATGTCACTTCCTTTATAATTAAAACAATAAAGACTTTTTTAAAAAAATAATAGTAAGAAACCTCTGCTTATGAGCCCTTTTGTGTTTCCACAAGACTTATTTGATATGGTGCTGCTACCCAGCTACCCTTCTGAGCTTCCTCAAGGTTAGCGTCTCAGGAGTAAGGCTCGATTTTTAAAAAGCTCCATTGAATTCAGCGTCGGAGCCACACACGTCTGGGTTGAAGCGGAGATGGCAGGATGGAAGGCAAGGTATGGTTGGAATCTTGCTCTTCTTGCATCATCTTTTCTCCTCCCCCCCCCCCATCAAAACTAATTGGCTCTTCTGATCTAATCTAGTCTGAATGTTAATGAGAAGCAAGCAGGGCTCACAGTTCCCCCTTCCTTGCACAATGGTCCATCTCCTTCCCCTCCCATCGCCCTTTGATATTCATGGCTGTAGGAGCCCAACTCCCGCTGTGGGGTGAGACAATGAAGGCTTGATTTGCCCGGGGCCCCTCCAAGAAGACTTTCACAACCTCCATCCATCCATCGAACCAGAAATGGAACCGACTTCAACAACACGAGCTATCTCAAATAAGCAGTCCTTCTTAGATGTTGTGGGATGGGTCCTCCCTTGGGTGGCATAGAGTTCCTAGGGTTGGTATTTGACATGTTTTTACATAGTTCTAGAGAGAGGACCTTGAAGGGACTGTAGCTTTCCCCCCTCCCCAGTCAAGGATCCCGTTGAGCTGAATGTCTCCTTGGAAGACGATCCTCATTGGTTCAAATTTAGAAGGATAAATAACTATGAACCCCCAAATTTCGTGGTTAATGGGGCCAAATTAAGAGTTTTGTGACAGCCTAGAGACTGAACAGATCTATGATGGCATCCGGGATTTATGGAGTAATAACAGTCCACTTTCTCAGGTGTATTAAGATGTACAGTTGGTAGATAGCA